GTGTTTATGTAAGACATGCAAGATTGTCTGGTGGCCTCTAAGAAGTATTTGTTCTCTGATCTCAGGCCATGGAGGCCTTGATGATAACCTTGGTATAATATATATATACATGTATACACAATTATATATATATCATACATGCTACATTCATATAACAATATATATATATGTATGAATGTAGAATGTATGATATATATATATAATACCTATGTACAAAAGAGAAAGAACCGTGAAGCGAATCGAACCGCGATCGATACAAACCGCGCGAACCGAACCGCTGCATGTCGTGTTGTAACGAGCCCGAAGTCTTCGCACTGGAGAGCACCAGGGCTGTGTCTCAACGCTCCCTTATTGAAAAAAACGGTCCATAAAATATGGAATACAAAGATATATTGATATATATATATATTACGATATATTACGTATATTATACCACATTCCATACTCCAATAAAATATATAAAACAATGATAACAATGCACTAGTGTCCACAAAAAATAATGCAAGTCAAAATGAAGCCGTGGAAAACGATTGCTGAACCCTCTCCAACAAGCATGAAGAACATGGAACACCTGCTGCTTTGTACAGGAAAACACTTGTTTCAACAAGGGGCTCAACAGCCCACATCCACATTTGGAGGGACCCTCCGTCGGATGGACCATCACGCCGCGCCCGGACACGCGTCAAACGCGTCCCACGCCTAGCCCTTTGGGTTGCAGCTGCTTTCCCTCCACCGGGAGGAGGTGGACGGGTCGATGCAACTGGAAGAAGTGGTGTACCCGGTACCCCAGCGTCCGAACTCATGTCATTCCCCAACACGAACCTTCCACGGCTGTGGGGAGACCAGGAGACCGGACCTACCGACCTCGTTCGCTTTGCGGCGGTACCAACATCCGGGCTCCGGACCCACAAAACCCTTGCGCGTCTGAAGGGCCATGGCATCCGAAAACGGAAGAACCGGTTGATCCAAAGCCATGTGTGATCATTGGCACTTGGGTCCTATCACACCTGCTAAAAGGTACGGTCCTATCACGTCCAATCCTTTCCCAGGTGGGTTCTTGACATCGTCTCTATGTATGTCTCTAAACTGAAGACCACCTGAGACCTGATCCAACCTGGGTTTGCAATTGGTAACATACTAGGTTATATACTAACAATATGATATGCCTCAACAAGTTCGCTTCGCATTGATGCAGCTGCACGATCATCAGGGTGACCGATATTGAATAAGTATATTCCGATATTCCAGCAGTTGATCATCTTTCATGTGGACCCATGAAGAGTATCCTTGAAGATTCTTCCATCAAGCTCCTTCTGAGAACTCATTTATGTCTCATGCCAACAACCTCTCTCCTGAGCCTTTTTGACAAACCATATTCTGTCACACATCCTTACCAAACCTTTACATGGGAGTTTTTTGGGCGTGTATTAGAATAAGGAGACCTCCCACATCTTCCCACACGGCTTCGCTTCGGGAAATAGACCAGTCGAAATACCCAGTTCCCCGGGCCAGGGGTCTCCCTAGTCAAATGCACACCCACGTGCATAGTGACCCCTTAAATGTGATCTCCAAAGTGAAGACCCACATACAGTCGTACAGGCACCGTCCCTCATCCACAGAAGTGGACAAGCAACCATTTGTTCAAACAACCTTTGAGCGTCGGACGCCGGACGGCTTTCTTCGTGCCTTGCAGTCCTCCTCACCTGCACACGACGGCGCACGGAAAACTTGGGTCTGCCCATGTCTGCGCCAAGGAAACGACCTGCAAGAGGATCCTTGGGACAAAGCTGAGTGTCCAAATGAGTTGGATGTGGAGGGAAGCGCTTGGAACAGTGTTTGGAGAAAAACAACTCCGAATGCTTTAGAGAAGGTTTGATGTGAAAAGGCGTAAACCTCAACACCTACAAGGCTTGTGGACAACGGATGAGCGAGACCATGTGATGCCGCACACTCACAAGGCTACCCGCGCCGGGGTCGTCGCCCTGGGTCCCAAGCTGGCGCAATCGACCATGGAGTGGACGCCGCCCATGGCCTTGGCACCGCAGGGGCGGTGGCGGGAGCATGGCAAGTTGCATAGTTGAGCCAATTGGAGTACTTTTGGAGAGACCTTATGGAGAAGTCCACTGGCCATGTGGCCATTCAGATTGCCATGATCAGGTTGGAGTTCGGTCTTACCCATACTCTAAGTCATGTTTTGTTCAACTAGATGGTTGATGGCTGATGGATGCCAATGTAGCCTTCTTACACGGTTTATGTAGGGCCAAAGCAGTCTGACTTCTTGGGAACTTGTCCCAAGGAATTGGACATATCACAGCACTATCACACTGACCCGCTAGACTTTGCGTACGACGGACGGAAAAAGTTGGTGATGACCGCCTGGAGAGTGGCGCATTTTACGTGATTTTAGTCCAGTCATGTCCAGGAGCTTCAGAGCTTTCCGCTGAACCAGCCAAGGAAATGACCACATGCGGCAGTTCAGCTGCCTTTACCCTAGTCTAGTTCTAGTCCAGTCAACTTGTGTGTCTTGAGTCTTGCAGCTCACAGACCTCAAGAATGGGTCAGAAATATCTGAAGACACACCTGGACCTCACAAGACTTGTGGACCTCATTGTGGAGGGTAGACGAGGTGTCTCAGGTGTCTCAGGTGTCTTTCTTGGGTTTCTGGTTGGTCAAACAGATGGACGGCATGTGTACATGAATGGAGGACAATCTGATGGACATGTCTGAAGTACTTCTGGCAGTTCTCATGCTTGTGGCCCATTCTAGATCAAACACATTTTCATCTTCACAACATTGCAGAAATCAACGGAAACCGTGCCACCCACCTCCAATCCTGCAGGGCCTTGGATACTCTGGATGCTGAAACTTTGGTTGGAAGACAGAACTTGAGACTTTCATTGCACGTTCATCGCCACCAACGAGAAAGCGTGCTTGGAGAGCACCCCGGTCACGGTCCTGTGGCAAAAGGACCTTGCTGGGCAACCCAAGCTGGAAATCGAGGGTCCCAGGTGGCTTCAAAGTTCCCCAAGTAAGCTAGGCCTATTTTGCTACAGCGATGGTGACCTGGCGATGTGCATGTAGTACATCCAACATGCTGTTTCAGCCATTGAAAAATAATTCACCGAGGAGAGCGCTACCTACACAGCCCCGGGCAACGTGGCCATGTTTGAGCCAAGGAATTGGGATCAGCTCTCAGAGTTCTCTCGCTCTCACAACATCACAGATATTTAAGTCGATATGCTACTGCTACTGCTGATGAACTAATCTCGTTTCTCCGGTCTGAGAAAGGCCAATGTTCGTTGCAGTGGAAGCTGAAAGATTTCAGCAAGCTGAAAGCTGATGACCACCATTCACCACCAAACCGGTGACTCCTGATTTCATTCAAACCAAACCTTGATATTCTGTTGCAACTGATGCGGTGTTACCTGCTGGACAGACGTGTAATCAACAGAACCGAAATTCTCTTTTCTGCAGAACTCATTTCATCCGCTCCTCAAGTTTTAGAGGAGTAGTGGAACATCCACATGCACCAACACATAGGCGCAGAAACACATAGTTTTTAGCCATAATATACTTATATCATACCTTGGGTGGTGTAGCTGGAAGTTCCATGAAGGACTACTGCAGATATGTTGCAAAGAACTGCCTTTGAGTCTTAGATCAAACTCTGCCCGTGCACCAAGAACCCATGCAGCAAAAGCGAGTCTTCTGGCTTTGTTGCCATGCGGCATGTCGAAGTAATGCTTGCCCTGTACGACGACTTGGATCTCTAGTGAACACTCCTAGAACTAACAAAAGAGTTTCCTAGCAAACGTTCATCTATGTATCTTGGTTTGGCAATGCACTTAAAAACAATGGATGATGCAACCCGGTAGAACACTGAAAACCCTGAAAACCCAGGATTTGGCAAGCCTCTCCACTGTTGATAGTACTGTTCTTCGGTTTCCTTCTTGCTCCTTAGCTTCAAAGATCAGACGCTTCGAGTTCTATCACCGACCCGGCTAAATGTCTTGGGTGGCAATCTGCTGACTGGTGCGACTTGCAGGGAAATGTCGGGAAACGTCGCCCCAATAGGGATTCCCATTCCTGGATCCATTCCCTCCTACTGTATCAGTCGCATCGCTCAGTCTGTCGCGAGTCGCGAACAACATGTCACAAAAACAGTTTGCATATTTCTTGCAGATGATCCACATCTGTCATAGCATGCTTCGGCATCTGATCCCCATCTGTCGCCGTTTCCAAGCTACGCCTTTTTCACCGGGTGCGTACTGGACGGACAAAGCATTGCGAAGCAAACCGACGGATGCTATGCGGTTTGGACGAGGTTGGACCCGAAGCTGGCAAGATATAGACCCAAAGACTCCATGGGACTGCCATATATGCTTACATCTGGGTGGTGCCAGGGGGGTCAATGTAGGCATATATGGCAGTCCCATGGAGTGTATGGGAGATATACCTAGAACCTGATTGACCCCTGTGGCCTGGAGCCAAAACTATCCTCTTTCCGATCAATACAAAGGTCAATTTTGGGTTCTAGGTAAATATTCAATGATACATATTAGATATATCTCAAAAAGAATTCCTTGGAATGCCTTGAATTCATGTCGGTTGTAAACCCTCAACCCTTTTCAATTTACGGAACAAGACGTGGTGACGGACCCCGGGGTCAGGGTAACAAACCAGGCAAAAGGTCAGGGGCTCTGCAAGTTTGACCAATGATGTGAGTTGGAATCTGTATGGTTTCCTTGTACGGGTCATTGAAGAAAGAGGCGTCCCCAACAACAAGTTCCTTTCCCCGTGTTGAACCAAAAGAATCATCGGGTCTCATATACAAAGCTGTCCAATTGAGCATGTTCTTCATCCAAACTACACCGTAAAAAAAAGAAAAACATCAAAGAGATCAAAGAGCGAGCCAACAAACGGACTTCGCAGTTGAAAGGGAAGGGCCGCCCCCGCTGCTGGGCGCTTGCGCTGGGCGCAAGCTATTTGCGGTGCTCCGTCTACTTCACGGTGTCCTCCACTCGGTCAGAGCTGGCCACTACATCAAAGTCCCTCTTCTGCCTTGGTTTCAAACGGTGCCAATTCCAAATCTAGAGAGTGATATCTCAAGACTGGTTGCAGGTATAGAGGTATCCCCCAAGAATTAGGGAATACCCTGGAGATTGCCGAACATGATCCAAAATCTTCGGAATGGTGATTGAAAGTGTCGATGGGTGTAAAGATCATGCATTGGATAAAAAATAACAATCATTTGCAAGCACATGTGAGCGAACACGCTTGGATTGCAACACCCGACCAGGGGTCCATGCGTGAAGAACCTCAACACCATCCAAGATATTCCAAGATAATTTATGCAAATATACATATATATATATATATCGGGTCTATCCTATTACCAGTAACCGTGGTTAGTTAGTTAAGGATAGTTAAGGCCTTTCCTGAAAAAAGTTATAGTTGTTTATCGACGGCTCTACAGGTAAGAACGGACTATACATACATACAGTATAGTCATATAGTTTGATGTTCTCATGGCTTGCCGGAGTAAGGTCACAAGTCATGGACATCAAACTCCGACGCACTTTCTCGCACCTTTAGCAACGGAACAAACCAAGGACAAACGCGTCTCAGCAGGATGGGTGCTCATGAAATCGCCACAGGCCACAAACCCCTATGGTTTGCTTTCCACCCACTGGTTTGCAAACACTAGAGCCAGGAAGTTGCAGGTCCAGGAGCTAGTCAGCTAGTCTACTTACTAGCTGATCTGGCTTAGAAAAAAAGCAAACCTCAAATATGCCTGTAGAATTGGAATGTAGACTAAACTGTACCCATCACTGAAGTGGACCTCTATCGAGACTCATGATGGCTCACGAGTGAGAACCAACAACTCCAAAAAGTAGGGGGCAGTGCCAGCACATCAAAAAGACTGCCCCATGGTCCCCCCCAAGGGCTTTGAAGGAAGGCCCGCTCTCACCATGGGTCCCCAAGAGCGAGTTTCGCACCATGTTTGCCGCTGTGGTAGATGAACCGGTCGAGTCGGAGTCCGGGTTACCCGTTTGGGGGTGTTCTCACTGGTTTCAGTTGACCAGATCTGATCATGTTATCTTCTGTCTCTACTACCATCTCAAAACGGTCACCGAGCGGCTCCAAAGACATATAGCCTCTCAACTTCTCCTCACATGGAGTGGTGGAAGACACGCGGAAAGCGGGCACAAGAAGGGTTTCGTTTCTGACCCCAGCAAGAAGATGTCCTGTGGCCAGGAGTGGGTGTCCTAGTAGTTCAAGTGAGGCTAGTTCGTGTATATATATATATAGATCTCACCATGCAAGAGCCGCCTTGCAAATTGCTTCCGAGATGCACAACCACCGCGACTTCAGCCGACACCGGACGACTGAATGATCATTGGATGTCATTGGAGTGTTTGAGCGGCGGAGTCTGTCTGTCGGTCACATGACTGGCAAACGTGTATGGCATATTTACCTACATTGGGGTGGTTTCAGGGCACAGTCAGTTTTAAGTCTTATACATGGAGTGTCCGGGTGCTTTCACATGGTTTCACCATTCCAAAAACCAGCTTCTGACACTTTCCTGATGCATGCCAATGCAACAAATCATGCTGAACACTTTGCTCAAGGAAATAGAACAACATAGGAATCAGTGGGACCAAGGCATCATTTTTCCCAACTGATAAAGGAATGTTTTGACAAAAACTAGTATATACGTGCTTTCACAAACAAACCAATTGATATAGATCTTCAAACATCTTTAATATATCTTTAATACATGTATAGCTTACATGTAGCTTGCGTCCAATAAATCAAGATCGGTGTCCCTGAGCAAAAAAGTTACGCCTCAACTCTTGCCTTCGCAACTCCACCAACCGTGCTTTCTTTGCAACTCAGCGTCCATCAGCTCACTGGTGGTGCCCAACTCAGCCCAGGGGGCCTCACCACGGTGGCAGACGGCCCTTTAAAAAGGGCCCCTGCACGAGGGTGTTGAACGGAATTTTGCGGTCCCAGTGGTCCCTAGGGCTTTCCCTATATTATCATTACATACAAAATGAGCAACTCTGCGGTTTTGTGAACATTCCTCCAAAGGATTCTCGATTTCTCTGAATTCTGCGGGAATGTTCACTGAAGCAGCAAGGTCATAGTCCCAAGGACCACTGGGAAAACCAGAAAAACATTTACTGTACAAGAACCCATTGGGCGGTCTCCCTATTTCACTACAAACCCATATTGCTTGGAACTTAAAATTCTCCACATCAATGGTGTAGCCGAGTGTCGTGCAAACACCACGGAAATCACCGTAAATCAACAAACAAATGGGTGTCACCGGGAAAAAGAACGTACATGCCATACAACAGACGTCACCGTTAAATCACATCACCGTTGTGGTGGTCGCTTGTCTTGCTTTTTCGTTGGCCGGTTCACACCTGGCTCCCATCCGACCTCGGACCCGGACCCGGACCGTCGGCTCCCCGGGACCGAACGCTTCGGATCCCAAGCTGAAAGGACAAAGCAAACACAAACAAAACAACACATACCTGGTTCTTCAAAGTGACCTTTTGATGACCTGGTTTGAGGTCACTTAAGCCTCCTAAGGGTCACTTAGGAACCTTCAAAAGGTCACTTTGAAGAAGCTGGTATAACTTTTGGTATATATATATACCTAGAACCAAACACTCCATGGGACTGCTTTTTTTATGCTTACATCGGGGTGGTGCCAGGGGGGTCAATTGATCGGCATATATGGCAGTCCCATGGAGTGTCTGGGAGATATACCTAGAACCTGATTGACCCCGGCCTGGAGCCAAAACATGGTCTTTGCCGATAAACACAAAGGTCCATTTTGGGTTCTAGGTATATTATAGAACAGTTCGCTGGTCCTTTCCGAGTCAGCGAACTGGGACCTTCAAACGGCGAAATCTGCAGAGGTCTGTGGTTGTCTGTGCTGATGTGTCAACTGGTTTCGCCAGGTGTGGAAAACCAAAGCCGTCAACTCCCCTTCAAAACCGTCTCAAATCCTCCCAAACCCTTCGCTCTCGGAAGACTTCAGATGGGAACAGTCGTCAGCTGAAAGCTCCACAGAAATCCCTTGAAGCGGTGATGACAGCCCCCATCCGTCGCACCTTAAACTCCATCTCCTGGTTCAGTGTGGCACTCTTCAACAGCTTCGAGAAGGCCGGCGTGTCCGTCTGCAGTGTCGGTGCGAGTTCCGTCGACGTGGACTGGTCAGACGGGTCAGGGCCCAGAATTTGACGTGCAAAATGGAGATAATAACCCTAAGAACCCGGGCCCCCAAACCAGTAGGCTTTTGCGGGCCCGGACCCCTGCGATGAGGTCTGGTCCGACCCCTGCCATGGAAGGCCCAAGATTCTTAGGGAAACGGTTCTTCCTGGCATGTTCACGATCGGATTCGCCGGGCGAGTTTACCCCCCAAAAAAGGCCGACATCGTGACGACGACACCGTGAGATGCCATGATGTCAATTGATTGATGGGCTCGATGTGGGCAGCGCAGCAGCGAAACTCTGTGGGGTGAACATGGTCCTTGGTAAATCGATAAAACATTCTGTTTTGGTCAAGACAGGTGACATTCTGAATTCATCAAATGATATCACATGGGTGTCAAGCTACCACATTCCACTGCTCATCACCAAACCATCACCTGCTCGTGGTTTAAATGGAAGTCAGCCAACATCATGCATGGTAACGAAGTGTGTCGTGGATCATCCTGGATCCTTGACCAAAACCATAGATGTTCACTGAGCAATAGCGTGATTCCAGCTGTTAAGTGACTTGACATGGGCCTGGATGGTGATATGGCTCACTCACCTAATATTTACTGTAATATGGCCCTGGCTCAAACATAGTAATAAGTAGACCAAGATGTCAAATTCCCTTCAAACTTTGGGTCGACCTTGATCACTCGTTTCTACGAGTTTCTCTTTTTCCTTTGCACCGGCATTCAATCTTGGTTCGCCAAAAGAACCATCCAACAATCGAAATCTGCCATCACACGCCCTGTCAGAGCGCAAGCTCAAACCTTTCAGGGTCCTCCAAACCACCCGTCGCGCTCGGTGCCGCTCGGTGGGACCTGGAAGCGGCTGTGGATCTCAAAGGCGATCTTGGCCCCGCGCGCCTGCGGCAGAACACGCGAAGCCACGGACCCCGAGGCCTTCGGTTTTTGAGAGAAACCGGCGAGTTGGTTCTTTGATGGTCTTTGGTTGGGTGCCAGACAGGAGCAGAACCTTTCAACTTCCCAAAAGGATGGATGGGTCTTCTTGCGATGTCTCAGAAAAGAACCATGTCTGCCTATTGACATGGGCGTGAATGGCAGCAGAAACACATCCCTTTCCTTTACAAGCAGTGGTGGTACTAGGGTTAGAGCCGGATTCGGAAACTAATCGGTCGGATTCTGAAACTAGGGTTCTGAAACTGGGGTTCTGAAACTAGGGTTCTGAAACTTGGGTTCTGAAATTGATATTCTGAAACTGGGGTTCTGAAACTAGGATTCTGAAACTGGGGTTCTGAAACTAGGATTCTGAAACTGGGATGCTGAGACTTGTATTCTGAAACTGGAAAGTCAGATTCTGCAACTGGTATTCTGAAACTGGAAAGTCAGATTCTGCAACTTGCCTTCTGAAACTTGCAACTGGTGATCTCCACATCATGCGATAGCGTGTGTGCCTGTGACACCACCTTCGAAGCACATCCGAACCAACGTCATTAGCCCCCCACCCAACCCCCCCACCCCCCAACCCCCCCTTGTCCCCATCGTGTGATCTCGACATCCCTCATCATTCACAAAGTTGCGGAATCCTAGTGAGGGAGTCCACAATGTTGCGGAATCCTGGTTGCGGAACGCCAGTTGCGGAATCCCAGTTGCAGAATCCTAGTTGCGGAATCCTAGTTGCGGAATCTTGACAGTTGCGGAATCCTAGTTTCGGAATCCTAGTTGCGGAATCCTAGTTGCGGAATTCTAGTTGCGGAATCCTAGTTGCGGAATCCTAGTTTCGGAATCCCAGTTGCGGAATCCCAGTTGCGGAATCTGACCAAACAGTTGCAGAATCCTAGTTGCAGAATCCTGTGCAGTTGCGGAACTCGACTTTATCCGTGGTACTAGAGGTGGTGCAGTGGCCTGGCCCCACAACCATGTGCTCTGGGCCTCGGGCGACCCATGGAAGCCCCTCCTTCGCTCCCATGGACCTCCCCGGCGCCTCGGAAGGCCTTTCCAAACGTCCAGACAGCACGTGGACCTGGAGCGGATGTCCAAATACGGATGGGATGCCAGGACGGATCACAAAGAAGGTGTGATGGTCCAGTTCCGATGAGTTCCATCAGATTTACTTGAGGCCAAGGGGGGGGGCGAAAGCTAGCGCTCCAGAATGGGAAAGTGGAGGGCAGCGAGGTAGGAAAAAACACGGCGCTCTTTTTGGAGGCAGGGGTGAAGAGTCCTTTATATGTGGCTCTTTGCCCGGATCCTCCTGCGAGAGAAGAGAGAGAAGAGAGACGGAAAGACGAGAGACAGAGAGGAGAGAGAGAGAGAGGAGGGAGAGATGAGAGAGATGAGAAAGAGATGAGAGAGATGAGAGAGATGAGAGAGATGAGAGAGAGCGAGAGACAGTGAGACAGTGAGACAGTGAGAGTGAGCGAGTGCGGCCGCAAGATACGCAACGCTAACCGCATGCCAAAGAGCGACGACAGGACGGAGTCGAACTTGCGAAGAGGGAGGAGGGAGGGAGGGAGGGAAGGTGGGAGGAAGACAAGGAGGAGGAGAGGGGAGGTGGGGTGGGGAGAGGGGAGAGGGGAGGGGGGGGGGTCTTCGACCTGAAAAATCAGGGGTTAGGATTTGCACCCGGTCGAAAGAAACCTTGCTATCGCAAGAGTAACTCCAGCTAGCTTCGCTAGCTTTCGTGAAAAGCAAGCAGAACATGATGTAAACATATATAGACCCTGCAATAGATAGAACCGTATCTAAACATGTATGGCATGGAAACCGTTTCTATCTATTTGGGATTATGTGGGGACCACGAAATGGTGTGCGTACAAGACCTAAAGACCCATACTTGGAAGTGTCCTTTGGTTGCAAGCAGAAGTTGAATCATGTGTGAGTTTTTTTTTTCTGGAGCAGCTCTGAGGTTGCTGTTTCTCGTGCGAGTGTCGCACCTGTCGGAGGACCAAAGCCCCCCAAAAAACCACTTGTAGGAGCGCCAAAAGTCAACTTCAAGAATCCAACAGATCAACACCTGTGACAATTCCTGCAGCCCCAGATTCGTGGCCAGCACTTCTGCTGGCGCCAAAAGCTGCAGACCACGCCAAAAACTCTAAAGAACACAGCCTGTGTGAAAGTACATTCGCATCGATTAAAGATAGGCCATCCAAACAAACCGCGTGCCAAGCCCCTGACATACCTGCGTCTTCGAAATGAGTGAGCATCTCACAGTCACAATTGAAGCCACTTGTTGCCCAGGGAAAAAAGCCTCCACCACAGCTATGGGGTTTCCAACTTTCGACTTCACTTCCCGCGACATCACGAGTCCCTGCGACCGACGACACATCGTGGCACATCGGCAGCTGGCAGGGGCGAAGCGAAGTGTTCCAGAACGCAAAGGTGCCGGCATCTCAACATCAACTTCAATGCCTGCAACTGCCTATACAGCTTCCCTTGAACAAACAAACGGAAACACCGGAAGCTTCCCTGCAACGCCACCTGTGATGCGTCATAGAAACGCTCCAAGGCCGCATCCCAGCTGAGGAGGGCCTTGAAAGGAGCATCGGACACATCGCCAAGAAAGTCGTGGTTTGACGTAAGAATTGGATTTCGGTCACCCCAAGAGTGAAGATGAGGGTAAAATCTCATGTGGCCGATGTGGTAAAGGTTGACCAACCAACCCCTGAAACCTGATTCCTTCTGGGTGTATGATCCTCCAAAGCCACGACTTTCCGGTCACTGCGAGTCGCCGAGATGTAGTCTTTTGATGTCTGGTGACCCTGTGGTCTTCGCCGTCTTCAGGGCGTGAAGGACTAGGGCCTCTAGGGGTCGGCCGGGTGGCCAAAGGCAGGGCCAGGTCCGGCCTTTCAACTGGGTGGCCAACGGGAGCATTTGGCGTTGCAACCGCTTCCCCGCATCTACGCAAAGCGAGTCTTCCTTTGGAGTCTGCGGAACGGCTCATGTGCCGCGGGCGTCCAAAAAACGTCCCCTCAAGTCAAAATGGATGAGTCCGACATCCGAATATCTTTCGGTGAATGACTCTGTTCTATTTTGATCTTTGATTATGTTCACCGAAAACCAAACATACAAAAGATCCACTTTTGTGGAAGAACTCTGAGAAGAACAAACAAATACTCTGTTCTTTTGTTCACTGAAAACCACTCAAGAACTGAGTCATGTTCTTCTTGAGCTTCTTTTTCACATGCTGAGACCAACCAACTGTGAGCTGCCCCCCCCGACATTCGACGAGTTCTTTGGTGACTCCATCGTGGTCTCCGAGTTACCCAGACGCTGCGGACTGGCATATTTACCTACACTGACCCCGACTTCAACCACGCCAATGTATGTAAATATGCTGTACATGGAGTGTCTGGGATATAAGTTTTGTTACCAAGAAGGTTCGAAGACATATTGCCTCATTGTTACTGGTGAAACGATTCCCAAGGAAGCTTCGGTCGTTACTAAGAACATCAAAGGGTTGCTCCCAGACACACCAAGGTCTGTGCTGCCGATGTCTGAGACTGTTGCGAAAGAATACCAGGTAAAACCTGTCAGAGACTCTTCTGATCGCTCAGGATGCAGGTTTTTCGCAACTAGTAACTATAATTAGAGATCATAGACAAACGCAACAAAACGATTCAAGTAAGGTAACAACTTGACCAAGTAAGTCGCATGAACACATCCAGGATCCCAGCTCGCTCGAGCTTTTGGGGATTCATGAGACACACACACACACATACACAGAACCGCCTCCGCTGCCGAGGACAATGGCAAGGGGCCCTCCTTCTCCAGGGCATCCTGTCCAAAACTGAGTTTTGTACCAAATCTCTGGCGACCTCCCTGGGAACTCTTGGTTGGGAGTGGTTGAGATAACCCAACAACCTCCTTCCATTCTGAAATCAACCCTTTTTTGTGCCAACCCATCCTCAAATCAGCGAGGACAGAGTGCTGCGACGTTTCATTTTGCATTGTAGTTGTCATCTTGCCACCAGTCTGAGTGTGAAAGGTGTTCTTTCATTTGGCATGATACATTTTGGAAGTGAAATCAGTTGCTGAACAAACATGGATAGCATGTCGCATGTACCCTGTCCCTGGTAGGTTGCACGACCAATTGAAGTGTAACGATGCGAACTTGAATGACTCCTTCAAAGGGTGTATAATATAGAGTGTAGAGGTTCAAGATCAGAGTGGCACAAATCCGCTCTGACCGGGTGTTGCTTGTTGGTCAGGAAAGGGCCAAAAGTTGTTTCAAATTGATGCGAACTTTGGGGAGAGTCTTCTGAAGACCCCCAAGGGTGACTCAGGTCCCCACAGGTTGACTGGTTGGGGTCAGTTGGAGGGGACACCATGTGCGGCTGCGCACTCTGCCCACACAGCACGTTGCACCCCCCACGCAGATGTTAGCCTGCAATGCGCGATGGAAAGAGCTGGGATCCTCAGTGATGGGCAAACCCGAAAGCTCTGAAGGCGTCACGATCGGAAAGTCACGCGTTTTCTCGTGCTGTCTTCTCCTCCGTCACGTTTTCTCGTGCACGTGACGAAACCGTCCCGGCCTCAGAATTCATTGCCGCATGGCTCGCCTTGATCCATTTATGTGTAGACAGTATGTGTATTATATAATTATATATGTGAATTATATTGAGAGAGTACACAAATGTCACATGCTCAATGAGAAGAGCCAGCAGTTGCCTAGCCCCATCTGTGTTTGGTCGCACCCTCAACAGGTGAAGATCCCCCAATGGGCTTCACCCACCCTGTTGGTGCCAAAGGTCTCTATTAAACAATAACACACACAGACACAGATGCACCTCAAACGAAGGAGGCATGGTTCGCAGCCCAACCCGGCCCCCAAGCCGTCAGCCTATGGAATACAATAAAGGATTGATCGCTTGGCAAATTTTTTGCAAGACCTTCTAGTAAAGCCTCCATCTATGGATCTTCTCGCTGTAAGACACTTCTGCCTTTTGGATCCTTTTGGTTGGTTTTTAGAGATGAACACATATTTTGTTCAGTTGGAAGATCCAAGTATGGAATCTTGGAAGCACACATAAGTGAGCCCCAGGACTGGCACGGCCAAGTGCAACATGACTAACGAAACGGTCTTGCCACCACCACGCAGTTCGGGTGGTTGATAGATCCCCCTAACGACCCTTTGGGTGGTGCTGGTGGTTTCATGTGTATATATATACAGGAACCTGACAAAGTCATCCCTAAGTCACCCCTTGCCACTATTTCAATGTCTCAAAAAAAGTGACGACATGGTCTTTTGCCTGTATATAGTTGTTGATCTTTCATGGCCTCTTCGTTTGAGATCGTTTGAGGGATGCATTCGCCCACCTTTTTGTGTGGAGCAAGTGCTCCTTTCACTTTCCGACCCCCAAAAGCACCTGCAAGTTGAAGAAATGGCAACGCTCGGGGAAATTGGCCTCGGCGGTTTTGGCACGAAACATCTGTACCAAAGGCTCGATGTTTCAAGCATTGCGACAGCTCGGGGTCTCGTCACGGCCCCAAATCAGGAGGTGCAGGTGCCGTCTCGGATGTACTGTGAGTGATTTGAAAGTGAATCGACCCCGGAATCTGGGTTTTTCCGGAATCGACCCGGAACTACTACAAGCTCCTGCCCATACTAGGAGCAAGGACGCTACTAGGAGCTACAAGTACTATGAGGTGCCAATAGGTGCAACAGACTCGACCCCTCGGAATCCGAGACATCTTCCTTCAGGTCTCTGTCTCGGACCCATCGGAAACCGGCCCAGCAGGATTCAGTCCAAGGTCGGACGCTGCTGGAGATCAAGCCCGGGAAATCCAAAGGAACAACCATCCACCAGGATGCAAGGTAATCTAGGTAATCTGTTACGTTTGTGTCTTTCTTTTGATGCGTCTCCCCGCTCTCGTGCAGTCAGTCCCTTGTCAACAAGCATCAACATGTCGCTGCTTCGGATGCAACGCATGTTCAGCTGAAGGTCTGATGGGCTTGGCTGTCTGATTTCGACCGTCATCCAGTGGTCATGCGGTCGTAGGATTCCTTTTGAAGAAAGCATGGTACATGGTTGACAGCTGGTTGATAGGCCACCATGTTCACAAGTGGGCTGGCGACGAGAATCCATTCTCAACACCCATCATTGCTATGACTCCATGACAGGAAAATCAAGGGACGACTAATGACCACTATATGAACACTTCCCGGCTCCCGACACATGTGTGCGCATGGTGGCACGCGTGCCTTGAAGTATGCGTTGGACGGGTCCTCTGCAAGCACCTGCAGAAGGGATGATTCCAAACTCTTTTGCCTTTGGATGATATTCGATGTTGGGCTTCGAACTACGTATACACGCTATATCTGCATCCCATCGGCCCATCGGCACTAGTCTTTCTCCCGGCTTAAGCGAAATGAAATGACCCGACAAATGCACTCCTGAAAGCGGTGTCTAGGATTCGACAGGGCTGATTGGGGTTTGCATTGCTCTTGCAGTATTTGCAACGACCTCTTGTGCGGATTGATTACATGGAACGCAGGAATGAGTTTTGGACAGCTGGGTTGAGGACATTTTGGAGATTGCCAATATTGATCTTCGATTTCCGAAACTACCACTTTCAGACGGTGAAATGCAGGACGGCCCTCCCAAGTGTTTCTGATCGATGTGAAAAGGTCCTCAAGCTCGACCAATCCTTGCAATGTGAGGGAGTCATCCGATTTGCTGAAGGAACCTGGAAGAAAACCGACTAACGAATTCAACAAAATCTGGAAATTTTAAACGATTTTCTACGTGAATCTCCCGATCAGCAACATCAGAATGCTCTGGAGCGGATTCTTGGATGGTCCCGCATGGAGTTAGTCCTTACTTTGGAAGCACCGGATCATGCTATTTATATAATAGGGAGACCACCCACCAAATGGGTTTTGGTACTGGTTTTGGTCTATTTCCCTTCTTCCAGTTTTTTAGGGGAGGACCCCCCATATGTCAATACACACCCAGAAAAAGAGCCCTTGCGTTTCTCATGTCTGATCCTTTTCCACATATTCTCTTTCTTAGACATCAACCAGAGACCTCTTGGATCGTCGGCTTCGCACCGTCCCGGGCGACGGATGCCGCGGCGTCGATTCCGCGCACCACGTGTTTGCCCATGGCCAAGGCTTCCGCCGTCACCGTGCCTGGAAGTGGTTGGCAGTGCCGACCATTTGGCTGTGAAAGAGGTGGTTCCCAACTCTCCGGCTTTGTTGGAAGGTCTCAAAGAGTCAGAGCTTGACCCAGGTTGTGAGATAGGCAGAACTGTGAAACCATGTATCACATGAAATCATTCCACGAAAAACTGTCAATGGATCCTCGAAAGTGGATTTGGTGGTAGGACCCTGGTAGGGGCAGTTGTTGCTTGCTCGGAGGAACCATCGAACATCGCACCCCAGCTCCTTAATATCTTTAAAGTAAATGTCATGTCCATGAAAACAGAAGCTCGCTGTTCGGGCCAAGTCCTGCGTTCCCTTTCATGAAAGCTTCGCAAGAGTTGGAACCATACATGAACATCATGAAACAGCATATCAGGAAAATTGTGAGCAGGAAAGCAATCATCAAACAGCACCTGTATATCTTATGAATCTTATGATGAGTCTTCTGCATCCTTGCAACACCAATCTGTTGTCAAAAAAAAAACATATTGAACATTATTGAACCCCAATCATCAATCTCTCTCCAATGGTGGCCTGTCACAGATCACTTCTGTAGGCCTTCTGAAGTTGTCTTTTTGGTCGTCTCCTTGGAAGAAGGGCAACGTCGTCGTTTTGGTTCCCCCCAAGGACTCACCGCGCACGGGGACCGATCTGACCAAACCGCCCAGTACGTGCTTGGGGCTTCGACAAAGCATCTCGGTGGTGGAGGCATTCACCAGCACCTGGGCCGAGTACCGTCGGTGATCACTGACCCGAATTGGATTCCCGTTTCACCATTGCCATTCGATATGACATGTCCAGTGACTACAGGCTGTTGAATTGACAGCGAGCGCAAACAGGTCAATAATATGTCAAAATCATCAAGAAATTCCAACTGTGAAGATGCCAAAGGTCCGCTGCACGCGCATCACGCGCCTTGTACCTAAAAATACTGCGATGACGGATGTCCAGGAAACATCAATATCTGTCACGCCGGAGAAAGGGGACATCAACGACGAGTATTGGCTAAATACTTTTGAGTGAGAAAAGGTATCCCGCAATATCCCACTACTACTGGCTACTACCCAACGGATGGACATGATGATACCATTTGACCCCGACCCTGGCGCCTTGTACTGCTCAAAATGCTTGTCGGCATGATTGCGGCCCGGGAACATCTGCAGGATCCTCAAAAGCAACAACTTCGAAGATGACATGAGGGTCAAATTCGCGCAATCTGAGGTCAGGTTCGGTGGGGGGGGGGGTCGCCTATCTGTGTTTCACCTGCATCGAACAACTTTTCCAGCCCAGGTTCATGGTTCAAGATTTGCCAATTCGCCATTCGCCATATGTTTCATCCCAAAGTTGGCACCTCCTTTGTTCCGCCTCGATGATTGATCCAAGACTCCCCTCGCGCTTCTGATTCAGCTGTTGCACCATCTCAGCAATCTCCTGCGCGTCACGGCGTGGCGTCGAAAAAACGTTCGGCGCTTCGTTTGGATGAAGACTTGGCGTCGAAGAAACGAAGTAAGAGATGGACATCAATATATGAACATGCAGGAGGCTGCAGGAGGCTGAATCATAGTCCATCTGTCCATCTATATATATAGGCCTTCAACAAGTGATGAAACGCCATGGTTTCGGTGGTGAAACATCCGTTTTGGGGAAGTTTCCTCATATTTCCTGAGCACGACCGGATCATTGCAAATCCCAAGAGACTGGGCGACTCCCCTATACCAGCACGCTTCCCCTACAGGTCTCCGAGTTATGGAGGGTTGGGAAGGACCCCAATAACAGGTTTCAATTGACTTGGTTTCAGCTGGTTTCAGGTGACCTGGTTTCAGTCGGTGCTGGTACTCTTCCACTTTCGGCCCACCGCACCGGTTCCCGCACCCCGATTCCGGTCCGGGCGCCTCCTCCTCGGGACCGGAGCCGAAGGCGTCCACACGGAAGCGTCCGCTTCGGACCTCAGGGCGGCGAGGGGCGCGTCGAGTCGGGAGCTGTGGGGTTCACAGCTGAGCTGTGCTGGAAACCTTGATAGTAGGCCTATAGCTATGGTTTATGGCTTGGCTCACTTAGTTCTTGTTGTGTTTCCTTAAATGGTTGGGTAGTGAAGAGTCAGGGTCTCATGCCAGTGCTGTGAAGGCGTGGCCATCCTTCATAGTGTGCAGACTCGATCGAAGATTGACCGACCAGACCCCAACTGGGCCAACTGGTGGGGAATTCACCAAGGGAATAAGGGAAATGATCTTCGAGGACAATCATATTTCGTGTATTCGTCTGTCCTGTCGATGATTCTTTCTGCTTCCAGCACATACATTGGGCAACAAACCAGGGTTCTTCTGTTCTTCTTTTGAAGGTGCACCTTCTTCAGAACGGGCCGTGAATGGGAACTCATAGATTTGCCCCGTCTTCTTTACCCCGGGACACACTGGATCCATTATCAAGAATCATGCACAAACAGAATTCTATGCTTTCTCTAGGGACAATTTTGTGGCATGTTGCGAAAAGCACCATCTCTCGAAAAAGCATGGCTTTGCAGGTGATTCCCTTTCCCAGTGCTCCACAGTCCAACCTGGTCCAACCTCTTGAGGAGTCCAAACTCAGTGGATCTCACATGCACACAATGCACATCTTTGCCATGTCTTGGTTTTCGGCCCATTTCGGTGGCCTTTTTCCAAGTCTGAAAACCGTCGCACCAACCCGGGTCCTGGGACTCGGGTGGCTGAAAAAGATATCCACTCCACAGACGGACCTGGAAGATATATAACTACTATACCTAGAACCTGATTGACCCCTCTTTTGGAGCCAAAACATGGTCTTTTTCCGATCAAAACAAAGGTCCATTTTGGGTTCTAGGCACGTATAACTTACATCCATTACATTGACCCCTCAACCAGCCCAATGTAGGTGTAATGTGGGATATCCTTAATTAGCCATTCTAAACAATAAGTCCCCACATCTCTATGGTTAGCACAATGGTAAGCAAGGATCTTGAAGGAAAACACTTGGCCACGACCTTGTGCGATGGAGAATTGCCATGGTCCCTGGTGCTTGGGAGCTTCCACCAGCCCATGGCATCGGGTGCTTGGAAATCCCATGGTTTTCACCATTCGAGGTCCGTGATCCGTACGGATCCCGGGCGGCGCCTCTGTGTCGGGCAAGGTTTCCAGCAAATTCAGCAGTTGCACCTTGGTGAACGAGGAGTGCACCTGGAGTGCACCTTGTACCTGGTCGGCAGGGAGGCATCAAATGGCCAGAAACATGCATTCCTTTTGGTCCTCCACAGCTAACGCAGCTAATTCATGTTCGAACTTACAGGGGGATGCATTCAATTACCTTCCCTGGTACACCGTGGGAACCATTTTGGTGTGGGTCTGGGGCACTCGCACACTTTGGATCTTCAGGAACCTACATCGACACATAAAAAACACCTTGACATCATTTGACATCTCTTTACGATAGGTCCTGTAAAGGCCCTTTAAACCCAATGTCAACCTCCCAACTCCATCACCGCACACCGAACCAAAACGAACGGCGGTCTCTTTCGTCTCTTTCCTCTCGCCCGCTTTCGCCTTTCTCGTCGCATCCCGAGGCTCCAAACCCAGCCCTTCGGCTTCACCGCTTTGCCGATGAAGTACACCAGACTCCCCGTGGACTCGTTCGTCTCCTGGGACACCGACGTGTTCGGCGCGGTTCGGCTGCTGGAAGGACGGTGGGGAAGCGGTAACCTCACGAGGTGTACAGTAACAGGAAGCTGTGGGGAAGCTGTGAGGTGTGGAATTGTGTGCAGTGTGCAGGTGTTGGTGGGAGTGCACTGGTTGATAAACAGGTGAATGGACATACCTGAGATATGACAAAGCACACGAGGGGCCATACAAAAACTCAGGAAAAACGCGTTAACTGGACCAAATAGGAAGAATCGGGGCAGTAAAAAGAAATGAAGTGAAGACAATATCACATCGTCTGGTTGCTTAGACTAGTGGCCGATCAGGAGCCATTGCTAGAAATGATCTTTTTTGGGGAGGGGCTTAGCGGCATACTGTACCTAAACTGAGCTCTGCACAGCATGTTGTCTCAATCTCTGCATGCACAACATCCATGAATGCACCGAATAAAGAAACCGGTGACCTTTTTGAGCAGCCGTGCTTTGGACCAGAAACATCGGGGTTTCACACACCAAAATATGTGGAACAAGACATTCAATCCCTTATAGAAACAGGCAAGGTTGTTGGGCAAAGCCCTTGACTTTTAATATGAATGCAAAATGTTGCAAAGGTTTTCTATCTATCTATCTATCTATCTATCCATTGATCCATCCATCCATCTTATTACCTATCAAGCTACCAGTCTGTATCTATTTATCAGTCTATTTATCTCATCAACCTGGACTTTAGGGAACATGCATGCGCAGCTTCACCGTTCCTCTAAAGAGAAGCCCTATGGGAATACATAAACATAGAAAAATCAAAGAAACATAGACAAATCAATTATACCCACTTAACACAGGAAGGTGCTAAATAAAGGACAACACAAACCAATAGCGGAACTAAATATGTACAAAGGACGGCACTTGGGTCGAGGACGTCGAGGATAATGATTGGTGCCATGGACAGCAGGAGCAGCTCAATGAGCCTGAAACAACCCGATCCAGCCTGGCAAAAGCTGAAGAAACACAAGAGGAACCAAATGTTACTCAAGGAAAGACATCAAGATTCAGAAGGGGAAACAGAGTTTTTTTGGGGGGGGCACATAGTCAATCAAGATCAAGTTGATGCAAGTTCAACTATAGCACCCCTGCTGCATGTCACCTGGTACCCCGGATGATGAATGGCGCCGCTCTTTCTGGACAACGGACCGCAGAATGAAACCGTGGATGTTGGAGGGGCGAGCTTCAAGGCACCAAAGGTTTTGACGAATCTGCATAAAAACCATGTTGTCTACCAACATGCTTGTGCACCCGAGGCGTTCATGCCTTGCAAGGCATCCGCCAAAGGCGCAAGGAAATTCGAGGGGCGAGTTTCCCTTAAACATCTTAACAATTATGGGACGTCGTGGTTTCCATGCAGCCTTGTGCAAAACGACCAGGCTGTTGTGGCAACAGTCCTGTCAACTGCCACCGCCTGACGCTCATACTCGGAGCCTTGGGCCGCAAGAGCGTTGCAAGAGCCTCGGGCGGAGATCCAAGACTGATAACCACTCAAAGGCTCCTCGTCGATCTTCTCGTAGCTCTGAGCCCGCCGCTGGACGGCCAGCTGGTGAAAGTGGCTAGCCGGCTAACCCGACCGCTTTTGCTGACGCCCTCGCGGTGCAAGAACTCTTCCACTTGCAAGTGGAACCCTTTTGCTTAAGCCCTCACGGTGCAGTGGGGCCTTGTGAGGTGCACTTTCTTCTCACTTTCTCTGGCTGCTGGTTGGCAAACTCCCTGCGAAGCAGCAAGCAGCCAAGGCCCCATGCTTCCGCGGGGTGCCCTCTCTCAGTGACCCACACTTTTCCTCATCCCCGGAGGCCGCAGTCATGTCACGAGACGCCAAGAACACCAAGGGGCAACAAGGAACAGTCATGCCCCAAGCCACTCACCCTGCCAGAGGATACCCAATTCAACACGTCATTTCACACGCTCGCAAAAGCACCTGGAGCGACCAAAGCACATGGATGGCGCAGTTCTTCCGATGCAGGTGACAAGCAAGCGTTGATAGCATGACGCAGGGGTTGGTGTCATGTCCAAACTTTGGAGCCTTCTCTTGTTTCCCAAACGCTGTGGCCAATACTTCGCTTCTTACGGTAGGAGGGAAGGCCAGGTGCTAGATCGAGGTGGGTCACAGGCGTGGGTGGCAAAATTGGTGATCCTTACACAGCAAAAGGTTCCTTTCAAGATATTCGAAATGCATTTTGCCTCCACAGGCTCGTCCAACATTCTCGCAGGTGTTTCTGACCGAATTCTCGCAGGCGTGACGACGAAAGGTCATCAGCCTCTCAGCCGATCGCTCCTCAAGGACTTGGTGAATTTCACTCAGTAAATAGCTACTCCCTAGGAATCCAAGTACCTTGTCAGAAGGTACTTGGACACTCCAAACCTACAGTTACATAACGGTGTCTCCAATCACCTTCTGAGAAGGTACTTGGATTTCTAGGGACTCTAATGAAGGATTTGATCATTCTTCTCGGTTGACGACGCTGTGTTGTCACGTTCCTTTTTGCGGGCAAGGTCGAATTCCCAAGTTGCGAAGGACTCCTCAAAGTTGTTGGGATTAATGCTGCTTGTCCCCAGTGGTGTTCAAAAATGGCGCTGTCAGCATATGGTTGCTGCTGGGCAGTGGTGGTGTTGATGAGGATGTACCCGGTGTTCTCCTTCCCTGTGCTGCTTGCTCCTGCTAGTAATATCTATAGAGTGGCGTGTTCGTGGTGTTGCTGCTTCGGCTCTTGCAGCTTGTAGGTCTGGATATTTATCTGTTGTCTAGTAAGCCCATGTCGGCTGTGAACACCTCCACTCATCGGTGTGGACACCGCTGCCGTCGTATCGAGGGTGGTCTGTGCCGGACTCGTCCGGACTAGCGTTGGCGGTGGCGCCGCTCGTGTTGCCAGTGCTATTGGACAGTCCACCACAACACGGTTGGGACCAAGCCCTCTGCCTGGACGGGTCGTGCAGAGGGAGCTCTGTTGTTGTCTACATAGAGTTTGTGTTAAACAATGTGTTGCTTGGCAATTGCTCATTGCTTGTTGTGTGCTCTGTGTTGGAGCTCACCTGGATGTTTTCCAGGATCGCTGCTCTGCTACCATGAAGTTTAAGGCAGCTTGGTTGTTAAGTCTGTCGCACGCTCTCTTTGTCACTTGGCACGTGAGCGCAAGGGCCCTGTTAAAGATTAAGTGTGGCATGGGGCATGTTGCATCTTCCACGGGGCCAGTAACCGGCTCACAACTTGACCCCTTGCTCTGCTCATGCCCAAAAAGCAACCATTCGGCGCGGATAGCGTCGTCTCATCCGTAAAAATCTTTGAAAGACAGGGTGGCGAGAGCAATTCGTCTGAGCAACATCTTGGCTCATTGGGAGATTTTGGCTTCAGACGCTGGATTCTGGTCTGCTCTTTCGAGACGAGAATCCCCGTTCAAGGCCGGAGAAAAAAGGAATTTCACGGATTTTCACGGAACTTGATTCTAGGGATATTGGAACCACCTGCCTTCTGCACTGCTGGGCCTTCTTCCCTAGCAATCCCTAGCCTATGACCCGAGCCAAACCGTTTTCGACAGCCGGACCGTCCCACCGGCCTCCGTTCCCCCCCACAACGCTCCGAAACGTCCTGAAAAGGCAACCAGCGCTTTTTTCCGACCTCGGTTTTGCGTGAAAACATGTGTGGGCATGGGAAGATGTCCCATAACTGAAGAGGTAGATTAGATCGAAGATAGGGACACCGTTTGCTGCAGAAGATGTGGCCGTGCTCCCAGTGTTTCTGTTGATTTTTTGAGATGTTTTGAGAGGATATCTTTGGCAAGGATACCAGATCTTTTGCTTCCAGCAAAAGACTGCATGGTCATTTCCAAACCAGTACAAGTGCATTGACCGACCTCTTTGAGAGGGCTTGACAGTGAGTAAAGGGTGGAGTTGTTACCTTACAGAGGATGAAGTGGACAGCAACAACATAAGACTGTTTAAATGGTTGTGGGTCATGTCTTGACCGTTCGCCAGCAGGTCGTTCGCGGCAAATGGTGGACGGGTCGGGCTCTAGGTTTTGACCCATCGGGCCAGGCTGCACTGAGAACCTGGTGTAACTCTCTACGTCGAATTTGCTTCCACTATATAGTGGCGATGCCCATCCATCCAGTTTGGGCTTACGCGGCGGTCCAAAATCGGTCCCCCAGAAACTTCAGAAAGGAGAACTTAACGACCAAAACCAGTGATCCTAAAGGTAGAAGAACATCGTCAATCAATCACTGTATGCATAACCGCATGGGTTTGTTAGGATTTGTTCCTGCTGTGGATCCCAACGCAGGAAGGTGAGGAGTCTCTAGAACTAAAACAACAAAAAACAGCTCAGTTCAACTTGGTCCTTTGCATCATCTAACAAGGTCTGGTCTAGTCCAGTACAGCAAGTCGTTCCAGGTCCTTTTTGTCCTATCCGGTCCTATCCCTAAACGTCCAAAAATAACTGCAACATCCACAAAGGCCCTGCCTTTGGCACCTCAAAGGAACTGACGTTATGGGCATGGCAATCAGGTATCTCTGCTCTGAGATTCCCCTGCACTGCTGCGCTTGGCCATGTCGAAGAACTCTTGACGCACCTCGGGTGAGCTGGGCTGTCCGAGAATCAATCCGCTTCAGTGGTGGATTCACCAGGAGCCAAGCAAGGCTGACAAAGAAGGCGGCTCTGCCAGATATACATCCTGAACCACAATTGCGAATCCACGTCACCTGGTGGTTTGGAAGATTTTTCGACCATCTCATGCAATCCCCAAAATCTCATGATTTTCAAGTCATCTGTTCATATCTGTTCGATCTGTTTAATTTTGACCCTGGCCCGAACTGATGGGTATTTCTTGTCAAAACTAAGCAATCAAAGCTAAATGAACATCACCAATTTGGGACGATGAACATGGTTCAAACCCAACAAACGTGTGACCATGATCGCTTTGCCATTCATTGCTTTCAAAGTCAGAACGCTTCACCATCTTCAACCCAAACCCCAAACTGCCGAACTGGCCGAACCCCCAACTCGTTGTTCATGTTCTCTGCTCCCCCATACTCGTTTTCGGTCATCCCACCGGTCCCTCTGCTTCCCCACCGGTCATCCCACCGGTCTCACTTCTCACCGCCAAGGCCGCGGGCGCCGTGCACGTTGTACTGCACCTCGCGGAAGCCGGCCGTGGTACTGCGGTCGATGGTTTGGAGGTGTCGCCGGTGGACCGCGGTTGGTGTTGCAAAAGGGTGATATGGGAGTATTTAATGTCATGTAACTATTCCATACATGGATGGGTCACGTCTTTTAAATTTTGTAGTGGAATGTAATGCAACTACGAGCATATATATATATATACTCCAGTCCCATGGATGGCCTGGGATTAGGAAGTTGATGGCCTGGATCTGATCAAGCTATGACACATGTGGTGAGGCTTCGTAGCGAAGGCAGACCGTACCAGCTTCACTCTCCAGACAGATCGGTGGGATGAAACAACTCAGTGAAACAAAAACATCTCTTTCACAATCAAATCCTGTCACTCTGTGAAGCGATTTTGGGTTTCCTCTTACACACTTTTGTGTCATTCTTCGTGATTAATTTTGGGTTTCTCTGCGAAGCATTTTTTTCCAAAGATCATCCGGACATCTCAAACGCACATTGGTCAGCCATTGGTCGCCCTCCACTCCCACCAGGTGGAGTAACTCTTTACCGGCATATCTTGAAAAACTTGCATCAAATAAAGCCTGTTAATAGCTAGAAGAGGCCCCCGGCCCCGTGCCTCTTTGTTGTGCCTTTAAATAACATAGAAATGGATCTCTGGTTGCAAGTTCCCCCATGGCCTCCTTTATTGCCACATCTTGCCAAACGCAAAACTCCCTGTTTGTATTCTCCCCGCACACCTCGTTGGGCAGTGAAATCCCTGCGGACGAAAGCTTGATGGTGACGTCGCAATAGGCGCTGCAAACCTCGCTCACATCGCGCGAGGTTTTGGAAAGTCTGATCATTGTGGGAAGAAACAGGGGACCATGCAATATGAACCAATGGAACACGGCTTCAGCAGCAATACCATGACCCGTGTGACACATCAACAGCTTGGACCGGACAGCAGGGGACAGCACTGTCTGCATGGTACTTAGTTGGTTGATATACATGCTGATACACGTTCAAATAAAAACGGGCCATCAGCCGTCGAAAAACGGGCCATCAGCCGACTTTGTCCACCAGGAAGTCGCTTCCTATCCCTCATTCCCCAACTGCCCTCCCCTGCGGCTCCACTCTCTCTCTCTCTCTCTACGCGCTTGTGCCCGCGCTTGCGCGCGCGTTAGCGCAGAAGGGCTCCACACCATAGAGGTAAAGGTCGAAAAAAGGCTTTGTCGGATGGTCGGGCCTCGCGCCCATCGCGTTCGTCGGTGACCGACCCCTGTTTCATGCCTGTAACTGTCAACCGTCTGTAATGTTGACTCTTGATTAATAAACCCCCCCCCCCCCCCCCCCCCCCCCCCCCAACTATTGAGACTCCAGAACAATGTGATAGAAAAACAATCAATTGATAAATAAATAAGGAATCCTTAGCTAGCTACCTCTGGAGCTACTCTGGCAATACTAAAATGAAAGGAATCATTACTTAGCTATCTCTGTCAATACTAAAAATGAAAGGAATCATGTCCAAAGACCTTCAAAATCATCAAACTCCAATGGAAATCTTCAAAAGTTTAATAGAAATCTCCATCCAAAAGCCTCCAAAAGCATCAAATCTCAATGGAAATCTTCAACTGTTTAGTAGAAATCTCCATCCAAAAGAATGTACAAAAGCAAATCTCAGCAAAGTCAGAAGGGACAAAGTAAACTATAACAATAAAAAATATCTCACTACAACTACCCCTCCCAAAAAAAAAGACATTATTCTGGGGGCCTTTATTAATCTGTGCAGGAAAAAACGTGTCACTATTCTGGGGTACTTTATTAATCCAAGTTCAACATTATGTGCAGGCACGAGCAAACAAGCTGCAACTCCCTCAAGAAAAAATAAGATCATGGCTCTTGAAGCTCTGATACTCACCATTCACGCACAACTTACGTCCAGTGCCGGCTGAAGCTCCGGCATTGTTGCAGCGTGTTCTGGTGTACCAGTTCCAACTTGTTTTGTTGTTTCCTGTGGACTCTGTCACTGTGCGCCACTTCGTGAGCAATGAATGTTCCAATCCCTCAGATCGAGAATGATGCCTGTATATGGGAATCCACCAAGTTGCACTTTTTCATGTCAGAACATCCCTTTCTCGACCGGTCTGCAGGTCTGGCGAATCTACACCGGAATTTCTAAGATGCGCATGATTTGATCACCACTGTGCCCAGTCTGTCAACGCCAGGACTGGGTCGAACCCACGCGGGTCGAACTCCGAAAACGCCCATCCGACGCGGGTCACGGACTGACTTCGGTGGGCTGGGCTCTCCGCTGCTCATGATCCCTGCATAGCCCAGCTCTTCCAAATACACCTGGAGAACTGAAGATGATACCAGGAATGGACACCACAGGCGTAGGCCCTTATCATCTCTTATCCAACCCAGCTACACAGGCACCACTAATCTGGTCTCTTCTGCACAGCTGTGCAAACTATTAAAATGCGCGTTTTGACCAATGAAAGGTTGCTGGTGCTGTATGTATTGTATGTGGTTGCATCCAAATGTAGATGTCAAAACGCCAGAAGCTCACAGATCTGGCTTGAGCCAAATCAAGCCAGCGTGGGCGTCGCAGTTGGAGATTCGACCGGAAAGAGCCCACCTCAATACTTTACCCAAACACTCCATGTATGGTAATATATATATATTAATATATAATATACCAACATTGACCCCTGAAACCACCCTAATGTATGTAAATATGCCATGCATGGAGTGTCTGGGGTACAGTTACCTCTCTCGCGTAACACCCACAGGAAACACCGGAAACACAGGAAACACGCTCAGGAAACGCCCGCACTGTGCGCCCGCGTGCGACGGGCCTGGTAGTTGGTGTGAACCACGCCGATCACGTGCTTATAGAGATCCGTCCATCTGGCTTCGGCCAATCGGTGACTGGAGCGCAGCACTTTCCCGGAAGCTTCAGAAGCGAAGCTCCATCCGGAGACCGGTTCAAAAGCCGGAACTGGTTGGGTGGTTGGGAACTATACCGGACCATATACTGTATAAAGGACCTCGTCCGGTGGATTGGCTTGGATAGCAGCACGCAAGGTCGGGGGGAAAGAACCACACAAAGCAAACCACCACTGGAAATCCTCCACACTTATAAACATAATTAAACATGAAAGCATCCAAGTCCATGCCAGTCAATGCTTGTGGAATGCTCAGTTTCTTGCATATCCTGCTGAGATAGACCAAATCATGACAAAGCAAAAAAGAGGTGTGCGCCCTAAAACTCAGATATGCGCAACATCTGGACCTACATACAGCGAATTTAAGGATTTGAACATCACATGCTGGGACCAAGGCATGTCTTTGATCCAGTCCAAGAAGCCACCATGGGCATTCAACCGAAGAAACATTGCCTCCACCCTAGTAGCAATGGCCTCCATCCCAAACTGGTGGAACAACCATTTCGCCACCAAACGCCCTCCGACGAACACCTCACGTGGAGTTTTCGATCATGGCCGCCATGGGAAGACGATGTTCCTCTAGTTAACAGGGTGGTGTCCACTTCCATGTGTTACGTTCGTTGTTTCGTACAACTCATCGAACTCACAACCCTTGGATTCGGATTCGTATCCTCCCACGTCCTGACACCTCAAAGGCTTTGAGACGAGAGACTTGTATCACCCCCCCCCGTTCGATCATGAGATGAACATCCCCAGGATGGTCACAAAACTCACAATTTCTAACAATTGAGTCCACTGTTCATATGGGCAGGACTGTTCAAGAACACATGTTGGAGGCCCAGGGGTGGTCTATTTATTCACCGTCAGCGGTACTACCATGACTACTATCATGGTGAATCCCTACTACATTTTAAATAGGATCGATTCGACGGATTCAATCGATGCCTTCCTTCTTTACCAGAACCGGCATAACCAAAGGCACCGGTAGAAAAACAACATGTCCCTGCTTCAACGAATCAATTGTAAATACCACCGAACAAACAAGACCGAGAATGTGGCTTAAAATCCGGCTTTCGTCTGTGGCTTGACCATCATTGCTAGCTGAAGGGCCATGGCGCCTGACACACGCGCGTCCTTTTCTATCCGTTTCCACGGGGACGCTCCATCGGTCCATCCGAGCAGCTCCATCGGTCCATCGGAGCAGCCCCCAATCGTGCGCGTTGTTGGCCGTCATTTTGGACACTGCTGTTTGCAATGGCTCGGAGTTTACAAACAAATCTTCGACTTGTCGGCCAGACTCAGTGATCAGGTGCATCATGGTGACTCAGGTGACTCAGTGAGTATAGTATACAGTCTATATCAAGCAACACTGAGTTTGTTGTTACTTTGACTTTGAGTGAAGCCTTGGAACTTGAACTGACAACATAAGAACCAGTCTGACTCAGAAATACATGCGGTGGGGACGAGATGAAGTGTGTGTGTGTGTATATAATATACACATAAATGGATGCTGAAATTAGGACGATGAACACATCAGGTAGATACATCCCGCATATTCCGGCTTCATAGCAATCTATGTTATCATCGATTTCTTACCTCTCTAACTACATTGTCTAGGCTGAGAATTTGGGTGATGACCCCTCAAATGGTCTGAAAGGTGCACCACCTTGTCCAGTGTCCCAAAAAGCAAAAAAAACAGCCTGGGGGGTCGGCTTGTCAGGGGTTGCGCGGACCGGGAGTCTCGGCGCTTGAGCAGCGCGGGCGCGGGGTTGCAGACTGTGAGAGCCACAGGTCCTCCCAAAGAGGTCTCTCAGAGTGTGTCAACCCGCCTTTCACAAAACTCTGCACAAAAGCTGTTTCATGGCGCTTCACCGAGTGCAAGTGTGACAGACACCACGAGAGTGCACAGATTCGATTGCGACAAGCGAAGGTCTTGAGTCTTGCGAGTACTTACACCTGCATCGAGATTGCCTCTTAACAATTGTACGTGTTGGACAATATGCAACATCTTATCACGACTTATAACTTATCTAGGTCTGTCCACCATGTTGGCCTATGTTGGCCTTACATGGCCTTATTGGATAAGTTAGGACCAAAAGCAGGTGAACTGATTGATGTTCTAAAAAAGGGGAAAACTGTTCAACGGATGGTCAACAACTTGTAGAACATTTCAGTTTCCACTTCCATCCTTCATCTGGTCATATGGCTGGAAATCTGATCCCATACATTCTCCAAACGCAGGAACTCCGCGTCGATCGGTGCGAACCCACTCTCGCAACACCCACTCGAGGGCGCTCCAGCGAGGAGCGAGGCGATGGTGTTGACCCAGAAAATCAGTTGGCTACATGGCTGCGCTATGCTGCGTTTCTTCCGCTTCTTACCTCAAGTCGATCCTATGCGGAAATATGACCTGAACTTGGGGATCCTCCGAACAGATCCTCCAAAGATTGAGTTCCCCATCAGGACCCATCATCCGAGGGCGCTTTAGATTCTAGATCACTCTCCCAGGTGGCGTCACAAGACACAAATGCAAGAGCTGAATCGAATCGTTAGATTCATATACATGACGTGTCCAATCTCCCTATAGCAGCTCCTTGTGGTTCAAGACATAAGATAAAATGATGTCCAAAGCAGGTGGTGATTCTAAAGTGTCCGACAAACGACTTGATACACAAACGACTCAACGTGCCTGACCCACAAACAGCTCCGACATAGCACTCCGCAAGGCGATGTAGCATGGATGAGTGTGCTGGCGCATCCTGAATCACCCAAAGCCCTGCCCTTGTCTTGGAAGCTTCAGGAAAAACCATGGGGAATAGTTTTTTTCTTTATGCTAACGGTTCTTTTTTTAATGCTGGATTTGGGTGGGTTCTTTTTTTTATGCTAACGGTCTTTTTTTAATGCTGAGGGTTTTTATTTTTATGCTGAGGGTTTCTATTTTTATGCTGAGGGTTTTTATTTTTATGCTAACGAATGTAATTGTCGCGGGGCTTTATTGGAAAATGTAATTGTCGCGGGGCTTTAGTGGAGAATGTAATTGCCACGGGGCTTAGTGAAGAATGTAATTGTCGCGGGGCTTTATTGGAAGGGCGGCGGCTCATCTGCGCACACAGATTTGACTCATCTGCGCACACACATTTTGTTAGCACTTGCGCCTCATCTGCGCACACAGATTTGACTCATGCGCGCACACAGTCCATCGGGGAGACTCAAGTGCGCACACAGGCCCTTTCCCGCATGTTTGCTCACTAAAAGGGTCGTCAAGATGGAATGGCCACTTCCTCCTCTAAATTTTGCCCCTCCAGTGGCTCACCAAAGGGTGAGTCAACTTGGAATGACCACTTCCTTCTCTAAATTTTACCCCTGCCTTGCCCACAAAAGGGTGAGTCAAGTTGAAATGGCAACATCCTTCTCTAAATTTTACCCTCGGGTGGCTCACCAAAGGGTGAGTCAACTTGGAATGACTACTTCCTTCTC